AAAAAAAAATGTAAAATTTTTTTTAAGCTTTTAGAATTTTATTAATAAAATCATATAAGTATACATAGTAGTTTTAGTATGCAAAAAAAGTAAAATCTGATATTCTCACAAAAGGTGACCTACTGCATCATATCTATGAAAGAGGTGATCTATCTGTATTTGCCTTTGCTTATGAGCATGAATCATGTTATAAACCTGATGAGAATCCATTGGAAAAATTGTGTTGATTCTGGTATGGTACCAGAACTCAGACGACAGAATCACTTCATAAAAAAATTGTACGGAATATAACAGGAACAATAACTGTGATGCTGCCCTCCACCATGCTAGCAGGTTGCCATCAACAATGGAAACAAATTTTGGCACTTACAAATTAGAGTAATCATTTTGTTGCAGTTTGGCAAATTTTTACAAAAATGAAATTGATTCGGTGAATTTTCAGACTGCAACTTACAATGGATATGGTTACCTAAAGAACTGTTATGCACATGGCTGCTAGAGTTTGGCAACTTCTGTAAATAAGGCAACTTTTACAAAAGTGGTTGCGATAATACACAAGTATCCAAATTTTTTGCTATGTTGAGAGACATTGGAAATGAGTTTATGCGAATGGAAAATAGGCATGGCTATCGGTATTCTTTTATATCTGATTAGAGAGCTAAAATGACGACTATTGACAAATGTTAAAATAAAGACTGCTTCATTGACAGATGAAAATAGGATGATTAGGGACCACATCAGCGTGCTGTTCTGCTAATGATATATAATTTAATATAATAATCTGGCAGTGTTACAAATCAAGTACAGATAATTTATTTGTACTTGCTTATTTATTTATTTTTGTATTGCTGCTTTTAATGATATTTAGTCATGGTAGTGTCATGATTTCCTTTCATTTTGTTCATGATTCATGGACACCAGAAGTTTGGAAGGTCACCTGTTGTGAGAATACCTAAAATTCATAAGGCAGCTGTAGGGGAAATGACAGACACCTGCAAAAATTTCATACCTTAGATTTTCACTATAAATATCAAGAAAACTTTCATTTTTAAGATTTACACTGACATTTAAAAGGCAGGGGAAAATAAAAACAGCATACTCAAAACAAAGCAGTAACCCAAATAACTAGCACGTAACTCAGCAAACCTACATTATACCTTTTTAACTGAAACTCACATTTATAAATCAACTAAAATCTCAATACATATTCAATGCCACTTTATCAAGATTGCCATTTAGATTGACAGTATCTTTTCTCCATTGATTACTACATTTTTAAATTTGTAACAAGATCATTTGAGGATTAAAATTCTTTGTTGGAAGACATAGACAATAACAGGCAAATTAATGTAACTTCAGGAAATAACTTGGCTAATCTTTGGAATATGGTAACAGGTAGTTTGGCGACGTTTTGGTGAGGCGATAAAGGGGACTAGAGGCTTAGCAGGTACAGAATAATTCAGAGTGTGCACACCGCATTTTGTGCAATCTGGGATTTTTTTTTGGAAAATAGGTAGATGTGTAATGGATGATACCGTGTATGTGCAAAAACCCGGCAAACAGTGGGCGATTCTGCACTTTCTCTCAATGTCGCACTATCGTCATCATGTTAAGCACTTTGTTCCATAAATTCTAGCAAAGCGGAATTCTCTACAGATTTGGAAAAAAGGTGAGGTAAAAAAAAAAAAATACGTACCTTTATTCGTGAAAACAAAATGGCGCCAAAAGAAACTGCAGGTTGCTGTAGCGGGTTGGTGTAAAAATTCCAAGTGACCATAATCCAAAGATTGACCCAATAACTTTTTCTCTATTCCAGAAAATCGGGAATTCATGATAGAGTTACTTAAGGTACCCCTTGTATTATCGCGAAGTTGTTGTTTCATTTAATCCAAGTTGTTCTTTTCGCCAGTTGTTGTATCATTATGGTAACTGAGTATTGAACTTTATGAAACCCTATTATGACATATCTTGCATTATTATGGAAATTTTGATCATGTCATGTTTCGCAAAGGCTTTTGTGGGGTTTGCTTAGGAAGACATTGCTTGTTCATTGTTTAGACGGTACAATGGCTGCAGAAGTAGATTAATTTGATTTTATGTACGATTTGAATGAAAGGAAAATCATTGAGGAATTATTGTGTTGAAATAAGGTTTATTAGTAGCATGTCCGGAATACATAGATATTTTTACTCTTATTTTGTGAATTTCTGTGGCAACACGATCTACGGAATGTAGTTCAGATAATTTAGGAAGTTTTGGATGCGGTGAGGAATTTGTGTGCTACAGACTGAACGAACGAATTCTACTAAGGTAGGAGATTTGCTTTGTTATCTAAAATACATAACGTTTTTCCTTTTTTTTTTGTTATTTATTGTTTGATTAACATGTAGCTCATTGATTTATGATTTTTGTTTGCCTTCCTGTAGAATTGGGTCTCCTTGACTTTTTAAGTGAAAAATATCGAGTGTAATGGACAACTAGAGGGTGTGTGTAAAGATAGTTGTACAATTTAAGGGGATTTTGTTTAAGTGAAAATGGTCGACGGTACTGATAAATCAAGGGAGTGCACAATGACATTTTTGGGTGGGGATTTTTTTTAAGTGAAGATCGGTCGATGTACATGGATACAGGTTTGTGCAATTCTTGACTTATTTTGGTTGCGTAGTGCAATTTTTCGCCAAAAATCGCCGCTACACAGGCCAAAATAACGAGTCAAAGCATTGCACAAACTCGGTATGGTATTCATGTACCGCCAAAAATCGCCAAGGGGTACCCTAAAATATACTTTTACTGAATTCAGTTTTTTGTTTTAAATTTTGGAATAAAATAATTTTGAAATGCATCCTTTTTTATTCATTAATTCTTATGTAAAATGGCATAAAATATTTTAGATATCAAATTTAATGTAATGATTACAATAAAAGTTAAAATATCAGAAATTAGCAGAAAAATGTGTTCGAAAACTATAAAAAAAACTGCATAAACTGCATGCATGTGTATACATATGTATGATAAAAACTTAAAAAGCGTAATAAAAATATAAACTTTTCCTTTAAAAATCTCACAGATATTGAAAGTTAAATATATAGGTAGATAGTTTTTCAAGAATATCTACTGCAAGTGTAACAGATTTACTTCTATTAGACTAACGCAATCATTGAAGTGTTTCATCGGACTTTTACGTGATTAATACTAAAGTAGATACGATTCGGTTAAAACAAATGCAGACTTACACTGTGATACAAAATTTATAAATAATAAAACTAAATACATTTAAAATAATGAGAGAACTGAAAGATAATTTCACCAGGAATTAATATAATCAAAAAAACAACAGCACACAATACTTTGTCAAGAGATGGAATTTCAATTTTTACTCTTTCCCTAATTTTTTTAGGTTCCGAAGAAGTAATATTTTCAATTTCTTCGTCACTCTCATCATACGCTACCAATGACATATTAAAATTCTGCTTAACAAACACTAAACTCAGATTATTTGGTGCACTTTAATAATATATCTTTAGACAGGTGACATGATGTCAAAATGATAGGTAGCTTCGCAGCTGTTCGCAGTAAGATCGTTTAACAGTGTGCTTGTCAGTGTCTCGTTGGAAGTTGAAAAAAACTGAATTCTATTAACTTGCCTTTCTAATTAATTTGATGCATCTTAAATTAATTCAGGTAGATTTTTTTAAAAACTAAATGTTTAAAGATTAAATTTATATTGCATTAAAAATTTCCATTGCCAACAGCAATTCATAGTTGCGTCTTCTTTAAAATCGAATGAAGTTTATTTAACCGTAAACCGAAACTAACACGTACGTGTGTAGCTGCAGACCGTGGCGTAGTGAACGTCGTATCTCTTTCCAAAAATGTCGTTGTGTAAAGTGTTATTACAGTCAGCCATTGGAAGGTGTATTTGGAATAGTCATCAATGTATAAGTACATCAGTTCCAATTTATAGAGAATTTAGAAAAAATAAGCGACTAAATATCGTCCCCAAGGATGATAGAGTGCCTCAGGAGAAATCATACGAGATCGAGCCTGCTTGGACTAAGTACGCCATTCTGCCTTCTTCCTCTCTAGTAGACATTCTTTCGTCTCTAGAGTAGCCATTTTGTGTCTTCGCAATGATATATACTTAATTTCTGTTCCTGTTTAATGTTTTGTGTCGTAATGCTAAAATGTGATGGTAAAATTGTACTTAAATTGGCTTAATGAAAATTTTTATGAACTTGGGTAAAATGTTTTAAGTTAATAATTTTCTATAAAAGCTATTACGCATCAGCGCCATTTTCCGTATTTTACCAAAGTTTCGTAAGCATTAAAGGTTAATAACGTACTTTAGGGAATCTTCGTGTAGTAACCGTTTTACTTCTTCTTTAATTTCATTCATTTAAGTAGCATTTAAATTGTATTATACAGATTGATCTCTTATTTAGTTGCAGTTATAAAGAATTTGCTGTAAATTTTACGTATGTAGTTATTTTGTGTTGAAAACTGCTACAAATAGGAGCATATGATGTTTGAGTGTAAGAATATTTTTCTTTAATTAAAACTCTTCCGCCATTGCCAATGGCAGTTTAGGAAAAATGGCTTAATTTTGAAGAAAATGTTCGTATTGTGCTCTACACAATGACTGGAAGATCTCTAAATTATTAAATTTGTTAGAATAATTCTGTTAAAGAACGGTAAAAAATATAATTTGGATCTCAAAATCTTGACACGTAATTATTTGTAAAGATTTAAAACCGTCTTAGGAATAAAGTGCCAGAAAAGTAAATTAGGGGGAGCCAAAAACTGTCCTTATCATCAGAAGTTGTAAGTGCTTCCAGGAATACATTTAAAAATTGTTTAAATGACTGCTTTTAAATGTTTCTATATTCTGCATCATATTGCATGACTATATCAATAAAGTTCCGAAATTAATGCAGAGAAAATCGATTTATTGTAGGAAACCTTCCATTGTGTTTAAATTAAATGTTACAAAGTTTCAGTTGATTAACCTTCATTTTTTAAATAGATATAAGGTTGATACAAAATGTTTGCTATCATGAAGTGCTTACGTGGAAATAAATTTGTAGTTGGATATAATTAGGAATTCATTAAATGCTTAAAATGAGTATATTGTCTTCATACATATATGAAACGTAATATGGAATTAGTTTAAACAGGTTTGTGCTGAAATATAAATTTCATGAAATCTCTTCATATTGCTCCTTTTGTTGCTGAGTGTTAATGTCCAGAGCCTCATTACATACAGTTTCTATTTTTGACAATAGAGGATGTAGAGAACTTTTGCTTACTTTGTTTTCTTGAAATGAAGATGAAAGTGCAGAATCGCCCACTGCTTGGCACGTTTTTAATAATAGCACATACGTGGTATCCATGTATACGTCAACCTATTTTCACTTAAAACAACATCTCAGAATTGCGCAAAAATGGCATTGCGCACACTTTTGACTTTATCCATGTGCACATCGACCTATTTTCTTTTAACCCTTTGACGCGCGCTGTTCGCGCCCTGAAACCACCATCCCCCCCCCCGAAATTTTTGAGTGAAAAAGAATTGATTATTGATCTTTTACATTTAAATAACACAAAATGACTGTAGAATCGTATATGTTTTAGGTATTAATACTTCTGATCGGATGCCTTTTAAAATTCGTTTTCGACGAGACAAAATAACTTCCTTTTATTAATATAAACAACTTTAAATTTCAAAAGTTAGTCATCGCACATCATGATTTCTATTGTAAACAATAAAAAATTGCAGTAATTAAACTGCATAAAAAAAAAACTTCTATATGTATGGCATTTGCTATGTGGTTTCAGGCCGCGACCACTGCGCTACTAGAGCAGTGTGTCACAATGCTTACAATCCTCTAGAGGCTCGGTGGTCGCACCTTGAAACCACTGCCGTTTGCTTCTCAATGGCATTCGCTTGCTTTTCAAATACGAATGTTTATTTTTACCCGGATATAGATAAAGGGCTTTGAAACCACAGTTAATTTATTACTAAACAATACATGCACCTGCCCAGTAAAAAGGTCTTTCTTTTTCCAAATACTTTTCTCTGACATCAACACACTTGCTCCCCAAGCTAGTATTGTGATTTTATAAATTATTTCCTGTGGTTTAAATTTAATGTAAATATACTTTGCTATAATTAAAAATAGAAATTGCATAAAAGTTTTATTTAAATTAAAAATATTTTGGGGCGAAATACGAATAAAATAAGTATGAATGAGAAACGAATGATCCATACAAAGCCAAAAAGACCAAGCCCCCCCCCATAAACACCCATAAAAACTGCAAATTTAATGTGCCAGATGAAAAGAAACTAAATAATGCTGGACATATACCAGTGAAATTTAAATTTAGGCAGTGTACATTTTGTAGCACAAGGAAGAAACCTCATAGAACAAGATGTATGTGCAAAACGTGCAATGTGGGTCTATGCATGTACCAAAGAGACAAAACATGCTTTGAACAGTGTCAAAAAAAAAAAAAAAAAATTGTCCTTTGAAGTTAAAAAAAAACACAGAGTTCCTTTTTATCCTTATTTTATTCAGTTTTTTAATCCATTTATCCAAATGTCTTTATTATGTAGGTACTTATATTTTCAGTGCTATAGAAAAATTACATAAATGTTTATTTTTTAAATACCCACAGAACAATAGGCAAGAGTAGATTTTTTTAAATTTATATATTTGTTTCTAGGATCATAATATTCAATTTCTAGAGTTTTTAGTTAAAAAAATTATAAAAATAATATCGCACGCGTCAAAGGGTTAAAAAGTCAAAGAAAATTGACAAAAATCCAATTCTTCTTACTCTTGTAAAAAGTGCCAAACAAATAAATGGGCAATTCTGCACTTTAGCCAAAATAAGTAACTGTAATATTGTTTTAAAAGAAAATCTGATGAAAAGAGAAATAAGTTACTAAAGTTTTCCATTGTGGAGCAGAGATCTTTTAAGGAATAAAAATCCGAAAAATTTTACTTATTATGGTTTATTTTGGTGTGTCTGAACCAATTTTTTTAAATATAAGTTCAAATTGAACTAGTGCATTCTGTAATGGTTTGCACAGCAGTGGGCAAGTGAGTAAGCCTTTAAATACTAATAGTTGATCCAATGTTCATAAATGTATGGGCTTGCTTTGTGGATTTTCATGGTTCTTCCATGCGTAAAAAACCCTTATCAAATTTATCAGTATGCAGGTAAAAAACATGCTCGTCTTAAATGTGTATTTTGTAGACCTGAAACTTCTTGTGATTGAGGGTTTTATTCCACAAAAAACCTGTTGGCGACAGTGCCTTTTTTGGTCACCAGGTTTGTCAGCAGTAATAGCTTTAGCAAGTATACAGTGATTTTTTTTTTTTTTGAAATAAAACATGATATAAAGCATATACAAGTTGAATTTGTTGTTACTAATCCCAGATTGTTGTGTAAAGTTAGGCAATCTTTGTAAATTCATAAATGTCTAAAAGTAAATTAAGCTAACCATACTAAGCAATTGTAAGTCAAATTTAGTTTGTTGAACGTAATTGGTGCAACTAAATTCACTTAGCAGAAAGGCATGGTACGATTTAATACAAATAAATTGAGGTTGTTAGAAAAACATAAGCAAGAGAAGATTATCAAAGTAAATTATAATTAAAATATATTTTTAAGTAATTCTATTATTGGTAATATTCTGTTAGAGCAGCATTGGTAAAAAATGTGCGAACTTTTTTTTTGGGGGGAAGGGGCACTAGTTGTTGCCAAGTTTAAAATTATAATGTAATAATAATGCTCAAAAGACTAAAAAAATGTACTTCTGTAAAACGTAATTTTTTTTTATTTCATAATTTTGAAAGTAAATTTTTCTATTTAATTTTTTTATTCTAGAAAATTCTTTGTTATAAAGCAGTTGTTTGTTGTGGAAAAGGTAATACAGTAGAAAGTCCGTAATCCGGACTTCAAAGCCACAAACTTGCGAATGCGCGTAAAGCGTTTACCCATTTGCGCTTCCGATAGTGAAGAAAGTTACATTGAAAGAAATGTTTAATAAAGTAAGCAAATTTTTTTGTAAATTTTGATATCCTTAATATCAGAATTGCTCTTTATTTCATAAATTACGCTTTCATATTTTTAATTGTATAATTTCTGCATGCCGTCTTACCAGATTTAAATTGATGATCCATAATCTGGAATCGCTGAAGTCCCGATGAGTCCGGATTATGGACTTTGTACTATATGTGTATGGTAAGAACGGCTCTCTGTTGCCGTAGAAACGAGCTCTGATTCATTTTCCGTAGGGGTGTCTTCAAGATTCACTTCTTAGTTTGCCACCTTGGTGCATTTAAAGATGATTTGGCGACATTCACATTTTGTTTTAGTTTTAAGTTAAATGCTCATTCGTTATCTGTGGACCCAAAACCGTATCATGCTGCCAACATTTGTTAATTTGTTAACGAATTTGAAATTTGTTTTATTATCGATTTCATATTTTGTAAAACTTGAACGAATTTTACTGAGAAAGGGTAATATCCTAGATAAGTGGAACATATTGTCCCAGGAGATTTCCAGGAAACAGGAAAAGTACTCGTATTACACTTCTTTTAGTATGTTAACAATAAACTACTTTTCATAGTTAAATTTAATCAGGTCAAAAGGGTTAAACTAAGGTTTTGGGATTTGTTAGACTGGATTGGTTTCTGACCTCTGCTTGCGCACTGCACGAGTTCTTTTTAGCTTTGGTAATTTGTAATTATTCATCTTTGTGTTATCGCTGATGATACTTGAATTTGTTGCACAATAACTATGTTATGGCTTTTATTTTTTTATTGAAAATGTCGTTTTTTTAAGATGGCAGGCAAGTGTAAATAAATACATTTACTATGAGTATAAAATACTAAAGAAAGGCTATTATTACTAAAAACATTGTGCCAACGTTTAATTAGAGTAAAATATTACTGAAATTGAATAACGAATTTAAAACCATCCTACCAACATTTAAAAGAATTAGAAATTCAAATACTTTAAAATACGTTATGTAAAATATAATTAACA